ATTGCATCATATCATCGCATTTGCATATATGTACCCGAATTTCCATTCATGTGGGGGATTGTAGGAATTGGTTCAAATATTAAATGAAAAGGTGTGTAAAAATTGGAAAATGAAAATGTGTGTAAAAATGGAAAATGAAAAAGTGTGACTATGGGTCAATTTCGACCAAATATTTGGATTTGATCCGATGGTCAAATTACAAAAGTAAATAGACCAACTTATTCTACTCGTCGAGTAGATCGGCGTGGTATATTTGGAATCCTAAAACCAGTTTCGGATGAATGAGAAATTACGGGCCAAATTTGGAAAAAATAAAGTATTGTAACTTTTCGAAAGATGCAGGTTTTGACCAAGTGTTGCAATTTTTTTGAAAGTATGCATGTTTTGACCCACATTACTTCATTTGCACCATTTCTACATCTATAAATAGAATCCTATGGACATGGTTTTGGACATACCAATTGCATTAATTATTCATTCTTCTCTTACAATTCTCTTCTTTCTAATTCTATAGCATTTCATACATTTCCTTTGTAGAGGGGAGATTCTGTCAAAAGTTCGTTGGTTTCTTGTGGTTTGAAGTGCTGCTACCACAAGTTGTGAATCCATTGTATCTTAGGAGATAAGTGTCATTCACATTGAGCACCGTAACAGGGCAATTTGTCTTAAGGAAAGAGATAACGTCTCGCCTTGAATTATTCTCCATTTCTACTCCTTCTTAATCCTTGTTTTGCATAATCTTTATATCGAAACTCTGTCCAAATTTTTATTCATATAAATTGTGTTTTGATCACGCTCTTGTAGGTTAAAACAAGTCAAACAAATATATCAAAAAACAACTCTTACATAACCCTTTTTATAAGTCGTCTCCAACATATTTTGCCTCCTGAGTTGGGATTTTTGAAGAGATACAAATTCTAGAGGTCTTCTTGAGCGATCATCGCATAGGGGTGGGGCGATGAATTTGTAATAAAATTTATCATGGCCGACAGTAATCGACGGTTATTTTTCTGGTTCTGATTTGGGCGTATGATGGCGAGTTGGGGTTGGGGATAAGGGGGTTGTTGAAGAAGATGGACTTCGATGTCGAGGGTTGGTTGTTTTGGTCTTTTTATTTAGAGTTTTTTCATGCAGAATTTAATTCACAGAAAGTATACAGAAATCTCACATGAATATGAGTCTAATATGAATAAAAAAGAAATAATTTCATAGGTACAATAAATTATTGACAAAAATGATACAGGTGCTGTATTGGCAGCATCTGTATGATGTAATTTCTGTGATTGTTGTGTCAAGAACCAATGGAAATCTGTCAAGTGTTTTTCTGTAAAAAATTCTGTCAATTTTTTCGGTACTTGTAGCAAAACTGATAAAAAAGTACCAAAAAAATCCACCCCACACCCTGCTATGAGTGGTCTGTATGGATTCTGTGAAATCAAAATTTGTATGCCCAGCATCTCTCTTTTATTTATTTTAAGGTAATTATATTAGCTCTACAAATTTTATTAAGTAAATCACAATTTTCTTATTTACTTAAATATCATTAAGTAAAATTACATAATTAGGGGTTTAATATACATTTAATTAAATAAATTATTGTTATACCACAAATAAAAAACCTAATTTTTTTTATTTCTTTTTCCTCAACATATTATTTCTCATAACCTTTTTGGCGATCTTTCCTTTCTTCCACGATGGAAAGATAATTTTCTTTTTCTTATGGTAAATGAATTTATACTCTATTTGACAACGATTTACTGATGAGTTTTTTTAGTTTATTTGTCAAGTTTGAAAATTAAGAATCTAATTTTTTTGTTAATTCAAACAGATTTATTATGAATTTGAAACAATCAAAAGCATGCAAATCTATTATCTTTATAATTTAATACTATTATTTTCAATTAATTATTTAGTATGTTTTGTATCAATTTATTATGAATTTGTGTGTATTTACATACGATTCGTTTCACATTTATTAGAAAGGTTATACTATATGTACATTACGGTGTCCATAATGTTCAAGTGGTATAACATCATTGAAAAGTTGAAAAACTATTTTTTCAACTCTCCAATCATGGAATTTCATATATACATTATGAACACCTTTATGGACACCATAATGTACATCTAAAATTATCCTTATTAGAAAGCATGTAAGATGATTTTTAATTGTTAAATGGGTTTATGAATTTGCGTGTATGTACTCATAATATTGTCCATGAATTTGTGTGCATTCATTATGTGAGAGCATACCTAGGAGCTATTTATATTTGCTACACTAGTCCTAATGGTCAATGACTTTGCGTGCGTTGTAGGTCCATGAATTACCGTGCATGCATTATCAGGAGGATAGGTGGGGCGATTAAGGTGAGATCCAATGTAAATTCAACTTCTGATTCACTCGTGAGATTCTGGCGGATCGAACTAATCCATTGACACAAATAGTTCATGGGTTCCCCAGAGGAATGTATATCTAATAGATTTTTGGTACTGTGTCCAACTCGAAACTGGTTTTCCAAGGCAATATGTTGGTCTAGCTAAAACCATTAGAGGGTTTCAATTGAAATTTGATTATTCTTTCTTACGAAGTATATGAACCATGTTCTAGTACTGTACGAATAGCATTTACTGCTGCACTTTGAGCAGCAAAGGGTGTCCCTCTACTAGTATTATCAACTAATTAAATGTTTGATTATTAGATTATGGTATTTGATTTAAACAAATAGCACATCCCTCCAATAAAACGGGATGGAATGCATGTATGCCATATATTTTTTGATAAAATCTCTTTTGATCTTCTTGTAAACCCTCAGAAAATTTTTTTGGCTAACCCATCAAGTAAGTGGAAGATTCATTAAATTTTGAAACGTTGCCCTAAAGAACTAGGGTACCTCAATGTAGAAAAAATCTGAGGTAGACTAAATTAGATATGCAAACTATTGAAAGGGGTAAAGCTTCACGGTTTAATGATGGTCTGTTCGTGCTTGTTTATTTCTATGGTCATGGTTGTCTTTGTCTCTAGTTCTCAAGTATTTTTACTACTGGAATTCTAATTGCAATTAAGGAAAATTGGTTCTAAGAATAATTTTTAAAATATGGCCTCGTATGAAGCCCCTCATTGAATTTTCCGTATGAATATGACGTAGTGTTTTTCCTCGATCTTCTGTTTCCAATGGCTGTGAAATAATGAGAGGAAAGGTTGAGAAGATGAGGATTAATATTGGAGATAAGTACACACAATATTGTATTTTTTTTCAATTTTTTTGTTTTTTTATTGAATTAGGAGTATAATTATAATTGTATTGTGGTGTATTCATTAAAAACATATTTTAATTGAGGTATGATTATAATGTGGTGTAATAATTAAAATTTGTTGTGGTAATATAATTATCCTTATTTTAACTGTAATTTATATGAAAATTGTAAATTTACCCTTTTACCCTTTAAAAATTAGTCAAAAGAGGTCAAATTTTCAATCCGACTATGTATACAAAAGACGGGTGACATAATTTATACAGATAAGATATAGCTGAAGGGTGGAGGGTTTTTTTTTACTATTTTATTCACATGGAGTCCACCCCAATATGAGAGATCTGTATTTATTTATCAAACTCATTTCTGTACAAATTGATTTTTTCTCAAATTTTTTATTCTACCCACAGTTTCTGGGTCAAACCGATGGAAATTGTCATTTATGACTTCACCTGCAAATTTTTAAGAGGTTTGATATCTTGTGTGACATAAATGAAAGATTTGGATCACCTTTGCTCCAAAATGAAGGATTTGGTACCTTGGCTACAATTCTCCTTATTTTAAAGTAGGTGCTCTAGTCATCTTGTCTTCAAACAATTTTTTTATTTCAACACTAACTCTGCACATCATAATTTCTCTACATTAATCTATATTCAATTAAGAATGAAGATTTATTCTACGGGCATTTGTAATAGAATTCTGCACGTGCCCTAAGGCCAAGTAGCCAAAAGTGAATACAAAGAAAGGCACTATTGAGACTGCTCTTGCAATTTTTTTATCATTCAAACAAGCAATTATAGATAAATTTTGAATTTCAGGAATCTATTTTAAAAGTAAAGCCTTGTGAAGAGGAGTAATCCATGCTTTAATATGTTATTTTACTCTTAACATGTAACTGCAAGATAATAACTTATTTTAAAATGCAAATCTTGAAATCTAATTACTTAGTTGAAATTTAAATGGGTTGAATTGTTTGTTTGAATTTGTCCACTCACCCTATTAAGTCTCGGGTCTTATCTTAAAATATCAATTTGATTGAGAATATTGTTCAAACCCTTATACGTCGTTACCTTTTATGATGGGAATACAAAAGTCAACACCCTTTTTATCCTTAATGAAGAAATTTGCAACATTCACAACCATAAGCTTTGGGTCAAGATGCTTACTTAAAATGATGAATTCTAAAATTTTTTTGAATGGTTGAATCACCTTACTTTCCAAACTTCAAAATATACATGTTCTTGTACTCCAGTGATCTCGATCTCGATCTCGATCACAACGAAAGGAGATTATTAGTCACAATCTAAATGCCAATTTTTTTTTAAAATTTCATACCAAAAATATGGTTCTTGACACTTCTCTATTTTGGCGTCAATTTCCATACGAAAATCTATGATTTTCTTTCCTCTTTTCCATAACATCAATGAAGATGTTGCAGTGAATTATTTGAGAGTTATAAGGAGTTGGGGAAGTAATGGATTTGAATTCCATTCAAAACATTTCATTCTTTCTATTTTTGATATCTTGAGGGTCGGGTCACCACACATGAACGAACCGTGACCTGTATTTTCCAACACTTAAAAATAATGAAAAGGTCTAAAGAAGTCAATTCCAAGGTCTCTAGTTTGTACACATCTCCAGTTTCACCTATTCCACTAGAATTTTATAGCCATTAGTGCATCAAAAAGGTTGAACTGAATCATTCACAGAGGCTGCTGTTGCTCAGCTATAAATATGGCCTTTTCATTTTAGGTTTTTCATTCCTCATCGACTCTTATCTATTCAAAATCTAGTATTCTGATACTTTTTTTCTTTTCTCCTGTAAGAATTGGAACTGTCTGAAATTATGGCTTGTTATAGCCTATTTTTCTCTTTGATATTGCTATTGGCTGCAGTTTGTTATGGCCAAGATGCTTTTGTCTGCTCAAGAGCAACCTATTATGGCAGCCCCGACTGCTTTGGAACGGCGAGTATGTCATCTGATATCTCTATTGCACGTTTAGTGAGCGATATATTACTCGACTGTATCAGTAACAAATTTTACATTTTTACTCTATAATGTCAAGTTGTATTTGGCTCCCTTATCCAAATATTCTACTAATGCAGTAGATAGTAATATGGTAGATTATATTACTTTTTTGTGAATATATCTAATAAAAATTGGTTTCTCATAATTTTACTAGCTGGAGCTTGTGGGTTTGGAGAATATGGAAAGACTGTCTACAATGGTGAAGTCACTGGAGTCTCTAGGCTTTACAGGAACGGAGCTGGTTGTGGCGCTTGTTATCAAGTAATGCATTTTATTTTTTGCAAAAAAAAATCTTCGTGCATGCTTTGTAATATCACTAGGTGGTGAAGTGAGGAGCTAAGTGTCGCAGAGTCGTCCCTTTTAAAATTTCATGCTGTATTTACTTTTTACTTACCATCCAATCCACCCCCTTGCAGACTTAGGGTCTGTTTGGCATGGCTTTTATTAAGTCAGAAGAAGCTTTTGGACACATTTGACTAATTTTATAAAAGTACTTCTAATAATTAAAAGAGCTTTTAGAGGAAGTTAGTTAAAAGTAGTTTTCTCTAAAAGCACTTTCGGAATTGAAAATGCTTTTAAAAATTAGTTTCCAAACGAAAATTTAAGTAGCTTCCTCCAAAACTTTTCTATAGAAAGCAAAAGTAAAAGTTAGGCCAAACGGCCCTTTATTGAAGTCGTGCCCTGTGATTATATTGTTATGCTTCTTAATGCAGAACTAGAGAAGTTAAGTGCTTTGCAAAAGCTAGAATGTGCCAAACTTGTGACGTTACTAAGGAAATCTCAGGCAATGACAGTTGAATTTAAGCCTTTTTTTATGGCAATTATAAAAAGAATTTGAGGGAGTGATTTTTTGAAAAATATGTGGTTAAAAAGTACGAAAAGTTTGAGTTTACGTACAGAATATTTTATTGTATGAATATGTGGTTAAAAATAAATATGAAAAATAAATAATTTCAATTTAACGAGAGTCAAACGAGGGCTAAACGAAACAAACTCTCTTCCAATGTATAAACAATGGAGAAGAAAAGGCATAAAGTACTTTTTTTAGCTTATGCTTATTTTCTCCCATAAGTTGATGGCTAGTTTTCAATGACTCAATTGATCAGGTAAGGTGCAATATCCCAACACACTGCAGCGAGGAGGGAACACAGGTAGTGGTAACAGATTATGGCGAGGGAGACAGAACAGACTTCATACTGAGTACACGTGGCTACGCAAAATTGGCTCAACCCGGCATGGCTGCCGAACTATTTTCATACGGTGTAGTTGACATCGAATATAGAAGAATTCCATGTCATTACCGTCATAATCTTTTGCTAAAAATCCATGAGAGTAGCAGGTACCCTCTGTACTTGGCCATAGTGCCATTGTACAAAGGGGGAATTTATGATATCACTGATATGGAAATCTGGCAGGTATTGATCTTATCAAAACAATTTCGAAATTAAGTTTTTACTAACAAAAGATTTACTTGCTAAAAAAGTAAATTTTAAGTTCGGCCAAACATGCGACTCTACGTGCAATTCCATTATGATCATGGTCATTGACAATGTTGTACCCTTTTTTGTTAATTTTGCGAAGGATGATTGCAAGGAATGGATCCCAATGCGAAGGGCATATGGAACAGTATTCGACATCCCGAACCCACCAAGGGGGCCTCTTATCATCAGATTTAGGTTTGTGGTCGAGGCCAATGCAGAAGTGAAGTGGGTGCAATTAGCTAGTGCCGTTCCCAGTGATTGGAAGGCTGGAATTGAATATAATACAACGTTTCAACTTAATTAATTAAGCTCCACGTTACCTACCGATGCATAACTTCTATAATATCTATAGGCTCGACTACTTGGTATCTAGTGTTTATTTTCGATGTTTGTAATGGTGCTTCGATTAATGCTCTCTTAGAATGTTTGATGAAGTACTCTGTGCACTTTGTTTGTAACAATAAATATATATATATATAAAAAGGACTCATGTTTAGTAGTACTATGGACAAGTGACCAATCCATGCTCTCTCTCATCCCAAATATTAAAGGAAAACTACGTAACAAATTCGAGGCTAATTTGAGGAAACTTAGGCATGTCCCAATATAGTGAAAATTTCAACAGCGATCCCTAACTTTTTCATTTTTTGCAGACTGTATCTTAACTTTCATTTTATGTCAATGGAGGTTCCTAACATTTCATAAATATGCACCTGAGATCCATCTAGACGAAAATCATCCAAAACATCGTCAGTTGACCAAGAGAATTAAAAAATCAACATCCAATAAAGTCGTCCAAAAACACCGTCCAAAAAGGTATTAACATCCAATAAAACTATCGCAGTAGCAGATAGTTCAAGGAATTTTTCCGATCAACCGACGGTGTTTTGGACGGTTTCCGTCTAGATGGACTTCAGGTACATATTTATGAAAGATTAGGGACCTTCATTGGTATAAACTGAAGGTTGGCGTAAAGTCTGCAAAAAACGAAAAGGTTAAGGATCGTTGCTGAAAATTTTCCCCAATATATTGTTGGTATTTCCTGGAACCAATGACCTCCTAAGAGAACTCACAAGTTGTAGAGTAATTCATTTTGCACCTCTCACTTTTTGATTGAATATAAATACAATATAATTTATTTTTCTTTTGGCATTACTTCTATTGAAATATTAATTAATTTAATTTTAAATTTCATGTTCCTTGCTCAAATCCACAAAATAGTAGTATGATGATTAATTCCTATCTATATTAAAGAACAAACTATGAATCCCTTTAGCGCGTTAAAATGAAAAAGAATGAACAAGATAAGAATTAGAAATGTAGATATTATCATAATTAAATAAGAAAGGAGAATATAATTTATTTATTTATTTATTTAAAAATAATTATCATATCACCTCCTCAAATTCACTATAGAAATGAATAAGATAAGATGAATGTATTAAAAATGAGAGATAATTGTTCCAATGGTCACTGAGTTTAGGTTCATATCTTTGATTGGTCACTGAAATTTAAAATGTCGAGTTTTGATCACTGAATTTAGGTCCATGTCTTTGATTGCTCACTTAAGTTTAAAATGTCGAGTTTTGGCCACTAAACTTTAAAAAATGTTGTACATTACTCATTATAAATTCGATATTTTTCAAAATTCAGTAGTTATGTTAGTGAGTAAGTTCTGTATTTTTGAAAGTTCAATGGTCAAAACTCAACATTTTAAGTTTCGGCAAGCAATAAAAAACATGGACCTAAATTCAGTGATCAAAACTTAGCATTTTAAATTTTAGTGACCAATCAAAGACATGGACTTAAGTTCAGTGACCAATGGAACAATTAATTCTAAAAAATGAAGATACGGTCAAAATTATCAATAAGTAAGGAGATATATACTAACAAGTGAAGGTGAAGATGAAGGTGAAGGTGAAGTCGAGTAATGGGTAATTCAGCGAGAGACATTGAAGTGATCACGTTCTCCAAAGATACATAATTGAGTGAGCTTTACATAAATGGGAGAAGAGACGGAAAACAAATTTGCCTCAGTGATGGATTTCTGCAAGCCAACCCCTTCGTAGGAATCGAAATTATGAACTTGCTCCTTGGCCCGCCCACTTGATTTCATCCTCCGCCACTTCCACTTCATCTGAACCTACTGGAATCGTCATGGTTTCGCTGCCTGATAGCACCAGCTCTATTGACCAAAGTACAGGCCATGATGATGAATTGGAATTTCATTCATCTCCTAAGCAGCGGTTTACCTCGTCCGAAGACCAAACCGTTGATTGTGTGGTGGGAGAGCCTACGACCATCGATCTTGGGTAGACGGGAGGCGGTACAGGGACGGATGACCTGGGTGAGGAAACTTCCGGAAGTGGATATGTTGAATTGAAGAAAAATAGGGTTCCAGATTGGGGATTGAGTCACAATTCTTTGGAGAAAAAAGCTAGGGTTTCTGAGGACTCGAATTAGGAATGCGAGGGTGAAAATGAGTTTGTAGAGAAAAATAATCCTATTGTAATTGAGATTTTGTCCGATTGGGAAAGTGAGAAACTTGATGAGAAAACAGAGAGATCAACCATGGCTATGGATTCACCCATGAAGAAAAGCATTGCTGAAAATTTTGAAGTGCCAAAAATTGGTGAAAGCAAAGGAGGTGATAAAAATGGTGATGTGAAAAAAAATTGCAAGGCAGGAGAAGTTAGTGAATTTAATGCGGTTTAGGTCTATGAAGGTGAAAAAGCTCATAAAAACAGCGATGGGAAGGGACGTCCAGATATTGCTAAGAATGATGAAGAAATTGATAAGTTCAAATACGTAACCTTTGCTGATTTGACGAGAGGGAAAGGAAAAAAAGAGTTTGGGGAGGTAGTGTTTCTATTAGTGGAAAGTGTGAATTGCCACCATCGATAAAGGGAAAAGAGAAAAATGTGCGAGGCGAGGAGGTGGTGGGGAATGCGAGGACAAAGAATGGACTTTTCATGGATTTATTGGAAGTTTTGAAGATGGCGAAGGCGGTTGTAGGAGATGCGGATAGCAAATGTAAGGAAGATGTGGATTTCTTGGAGATGGCTACGAGGCGAGGTTTATCATTTCCTAAGCCTAGATGGTGGCCGCTCAATGGTTTTCAAGAATAGTTCATGGTTCGAGAAGGTGATTTTCTACGGAGGAAAAGAAACTTACAAGGATTGAGCGTACCCAAGGAGAAGTCCAGCTTGACAATTGGGTAGCTTCTCTTTTGAATTATAGTCGGGAGAAACGTTCTCAGCGGTGGACTGAACCCAAATCCTTTGGAAAAGGAGGCGAGGTTTGACATTTTTTTATCAATAAATGTAAAATTCTATTGATCAAAATTCATATACAAATACACCGGACATGTTCTGGCATATCAAGATAAAGTAACTTATACAACTACGCTGGGCATATCTGGGCAACAAAAAAGAAAGATGTACAAATGACATAATCTATAGACCCATCACATAAGACTCAAATTGAATCAAAATATTCTAATACAAAGAAAACATAACTTTATATACATGTGTTTTGATTCGTCTAACAATGTTGTCCACATGTGGTCTTAGATTCTCAAAATTTCTTCTATTTCTTGCCATCCAAATATAGTAGATGATAATTGCCAATGCAATGCTTTTGACCTTACTTTGCCAAGAAGTCCCTTTAGCCTCTTTGTTGATCCACTTCAATGCACTAGCAACAGTGGTCATGGTTCTTCTAATGCCAAACTAAACCTTAATATTCTTCCAAACACGAGAGGAGAAAGTACATTGGAAAAATAAGTGTTGGCATGTTTCCTCTTGCGAACCACAAAAAACACAAGTGGTATCAATGTTGAGATGCAGTAGCCTATCCATAGTAAGGAATTTAGATTGCACTCCTAGCGGATAAAGGAGTGTTTAGGAGTAATGTACGGTCTCTAGAATTTAGTTGTCCATGCCCTCTTAACCCCAACCTACTTGAAGAACCCATAAGCCCTGTCCATGCAAAAGTCGCCAACTTATGTCCATTCCAACAACTTGTTCACAGCAACCTACATGCTCCCAGTCGGACTAGCAAGCTGTTCTTTGATTTTCAACAACCTCTTGAGCAAAGACGAGTCCCTTTTATAGGCTGTCCATTCCCAAAAATTTCTCCCATTTAAGTATGCATAGTTAATCCACTTGACCTAAAGCAAGTTCTTCTTGCTATGAATATTCCGAAGTGACTTTAACAGTAGAGCAAAAATTCTAGCATTTCAAATCTATGAAATCAATTCCTCTCTCGTCTTTCAGTAACCAAATTTTGTTCCAAGCAATCAGTGATTTATTAGACCCCCAAAAGAAATTTCGGCATAGACGAATAACACTTGAATAACTGTAGCTGGAATAGGAAAGTTAGAGAGCTAAAAACATTCAACACCTTGAAGAACGGCTCTAACAAGTTTCGCTTTCCCCACATAGGACAAATGTGCTCAAGACCAACCACAAATGTAGGCCGATATTCTGTTGAGAAAGGAATCATAAGAGTTAATTTTAAGCCTTCCCGTTGCTAGAGGAATACCTAAGTATCTAAAAGGCATAGATCCCTTTGGCAAATTAGTAAAGCCATAAATGTTCTCAAGCACTTGCCCATGCACACCGTCTATATACATGCTAGATTTATTAACATTCATCTATGGCCCGACATGTCTCCAAAATTAGATAAACAACCATCATGATGCCCACAAAAATTTCATCACATCTAGAGAATAGCATTAAGTAATCCATAAATGCCAAATGAGTAATCTTTAAGGAACCACATTCAGAATGAAACTTGTATTCACTATTCTTGGTTGCATGCTTCAACATCCTCGAGAAGTATTCAAGGAAAATCACAAATAAGAAAGGGAAGAGAGGATCCCTTTTATGAAGCCCCTTTTCCCCTTTAATGAATCCATGAAAACTACCATTAGGAGCAATAGAATATGCCAGTGTGGTAATACATTCCATCACCAAATCAATGAGTTTTTTTTTGGAAATTCCAAACCATGAAGCACACTTTTGAGAAACTTCCAATCAACCGAATCATATGCCTTCTTAAGATCAATTTTAAGAAGGTACCTAGGAGCAACCCTCTTGCAATTATAGTCTCAAAAGCTCTTGGGCAAGACAAATATTCTCCATCACACTTCTACCTTCCACAATGCTGCTTGTGCTTGACCAACAAGAGACAAGAATCTTGGCAATAACCTTGTAAAACACGTTACACCAAGCAATCGCCTATAATCTCCCACCGAGATAGAATGATTGCTCTTAGGAACCAATGCAATAACTGTGGGGTTAGTTTACTTAAAAAGAGAACTAGAAGCAAAGAATTCTCTCACTGCCTCCAATAACTCATGACCAGCAATATCCCATGACTTCTTAAAAAAACAAGAAGTGTTTCCATCCGACCTCGGTGACTTATCATTCCTGATGCTAAATAATGCCTCCTTGACGGGCCAAAGCATTCTCTTCCGATAACACAAAACAACTC